GTAGAAGCTCTGTCTTTTTTTTTTTTTTTTTTGCACAAGCACAGCAATCTGGAAACCCAGATATCATTTTCTTGGACATTCTCCCATGGTTGAGAGGAAGGAATAGGATTTGTGCTCAGAGACGAGATTAAAAATTAATGCAGGTGTATACATGACTGAAAATGTGATATCTATGATAACAGCTTCACTGATTCCAGAGCAGGAAATCTAAAAAGAAGTCTAACAAATTGTATTCCCTTTTTTAATTCCACTTATCATTCCACACACAAATCAAACATTTAGATTGCACCAAGTCAGATGCATGTGTTTTCTCTGGGTGTAATTAAACCTTTGCTATCAATTATTTAGAGATAATCCATGAGTCCAACTTTGCCTGGATATCCATGTTGCAGAACTGACATAATGGCTCTATGGCTGATGTCTTAATATACATCTCATATTCTTGCTAGGATCTCTCCCTAGTAATTGTGGGAGTATTAAATACAATACTCCATGAATAAATAAATAGCTCAGTTTGAACTATGGTGAAATGTTGAGTGCTCAGTTTGTCTAGTGCCCAGAAACCTCCTAATAGGCATTTGATGAATGTATGCCTTTACTCTCTGTAATCAGCAAAGCTTGTTAATGCAAACCACTCTGAATGTATTGGTTTATCAGCAGGTGGGATAAATAAACGTTGCTTTTCTTGGAGAATGTTCTAAATGCTTTAAAGTGCATTCAACTTTTTTTTTAGTTTTGTATAGAGTCCTAGTGCCCGAATGGTGGCCCTTTGGAACTTATTGTGCAGCTCTTTGGGCACCTAAAGGCCTTGGTTTGTGTTATTTCTTTCCTAGGAGCTTATTCTATTTGGAGGGGGGAGGGCATCTGTGTTTCATTGAGGAGATTTCCCTTTGCTTCCTGTCCCATAGGAAGAACAGGAAGTGAAAAGAAATCTCTCCAAACTGTGGCAATTCTTGGTTGTCATCAGGGTCACCAGAACTAGTGCTCCCATTGTAGCACTACCCCCTTAGGAGTTGCTGACAATTTGGGTCCCTCTATAGTCCTGCACAGCCAGGCAACATGTATTTTCCCAGACTTGCATTCCAGACCAGTAAACAGTCCTTGAGCTTGTTTTTTTTAGGTTTTATTAAGGATATTGAACTTGGATGGGGTAAAAGGTGTATGGGATGTCCAAGGGAACTGCAAACTGAGGACAACTTCCTGGCAACTTTGTACAAGTCTTTATACAGCAGAACTCTTCTGGGAGAGCTCTCCAGCTTCTCCTACCTGGTGTACCACCCCAGATAAATCCTCTTCTTTACCCAGCTGTCTGGAGGAATCCCTGGGCAAGGGGATCCAGTGCCTGCCACTTTAAGATGAATAGTCCCAGGTAGCTAGTCAGGTTTCCCACCAGAATGCTCTTTTCCCCTTAGCTGGCCCAGGGATTGTAGGATTACTCACTCTCTTTCCTGTCTCTTTCCTGTGAGCGTGCCTCCACAGGCAGGTGGCAACTTCACAGATGGACTTATTGCACAGGTGGCAACCTATCACAGTACCACGCTTGAATTCACTGAGCTCCTGAGAGCGACCCATTCTTTCACAAATGTTTGTAGAAGCAGCCTGCATGCCGAGGTGCTTGAGTTTATACACCTGCGGCCATGGAGGTGATTGGAACACCTGAATCCAATGATTTGGAGGGGTGTCCCAATACTTTTGGCAATATAGTGTATATATATATATATATATATATATATATATACACACACACACACACACACACACACACACACACACACACACACACACACACACATATATATATATATATATATATATATATATATATATACACAGTGGGGATCGAAAGTTTGGGCACCCCAGCTAAAAATTTGTATTAATGTGCATAAAGAAGCCAAGGAAAGATGGAAAAATCTCCAAAAGGCATCAAATTACAGATTAGACATTCTTATAATATGTCAACAAAAGTTAGATTTTATTTCCATCATTTACACTTTCAAAATAACAGAAAACAAAAAAATGGCGTCTGCAAAAGTTTGGGCACCCTGCAGAGTTAATATCTTGTACTGCCCCCTTTGGCAAGTATCACAGCTTGTAAACGCTTTTTGTAGCCAGCCAAGAGTCTTTCAATTCTTGTTTGAGGTATCTTTGCCCATTCTTCCTTACAAAAGTCTTCCAGTTCTTTGAGATTTCTGGGCTGTCTGTCACGCACTGCTCTTTTAAGGTCTATCCATAGATTTTCAATTATGTTGAGGTCAGGAGATTGTGAAGGCCATGGCAAAACCTTCAGTTTATGCCTCTTGATGTAATCCCCCGTGGATTTCCAGGTGTGTTTAGGATCATTATCAATTCGTAGAAGCCATCCTCTCTTTAACGTCAGCTTTTTCACAGACGGCATCAAGTTACCATCCAAAATTTGCTGAAATTTTATTGAATCCATTTTTCCTTCTGCTCGTGAGATGTTCCCTGTGCCACTGGCTGCAACACAACCCCAAAGCATGATTGATCCAACCCCATACTTAACAGTTGGACAGAGGTTCTTTTCATTAAATTCTGTGCCCCTTCTTCTCCAAACGTACCTTTGCTCATTCTGGCCAAAAAGTTCAATTTTAACTTCATCGGTACACAGAACTGGTTTCCAAAATGTATCAGGCTTGTCTATATGTTCATTTGCAAAGTTCAAACGATGATTTTTGTGGTGAGGACATAGAAGAGGTTTTCTTCTGATGACTCTTCCATGAAGACCATATTTGTACAAGTATCTCTTTATAGGGGAATAGTGTACCACAACTCCAGTGTCTGCCAGATCTTTCTGGAGGGATCATGCAATCAAACGTGGGTTTTGAATTGTTTTTCTCACAATCCTGCGAGCTGTTCTGTCTGATATTTTTCTTGGTCTTCCAGATCTTGCTTTAACTTCCACTGTTCCTGATGACTGCCATTTCTTAATTACATTCCGAACAGAGGATATTGACATCTGAAAACGCTTTGCTATCTTCTTATAGCCTTCTCCAGCTTTGTGAGCGTCAACTATTTTCAGTTTCAGTTTTCTAGACAACTGCTTAGAAGAACCCATGGTGCTGATTGTTGAGGCAAGGTCAGATGAGTCTGGGCATTTAAAACCTTTGAGCTTGACATCACCTGGTCTTCACAGACGATGATTGAGAACAATCAATGACACTGGCAGGTCTCAGCTTGGCAAAGGGGGCAGTGCATGCTATAAATTCTGCAGGGTGCCCAAACTTTTGCAGACGCCATTTTTTTGTTTTCTGTTATTTTGAAAGTGGAAATGATGGAAATAAAATCTAACTTTTGTTGACATATTATAAGAATGTCTAATCTGTAATTTGATGCCTTTTGGAGATTTTTCCATCTTTCCTTGGCTTCTTTATGCACATTAATACAAATTTTTAGCTGGGGTGCCCAAACTTTCGATCCCCACTGTATGTATGTATATATATATATATATATATATATACACCATGTTCCAAATTATTATGCAAATTCTATTTAAGTGTCACAAAGATGAAATATTTTGTTTTTCAGTTTAACTCATAGATGGCACTGTGTGTCAGGGCTCTTTTGATCACTGAAAACAATCTCGGACACCTGTGATAATTAGATTGGCCGATGAGCCCAATTTAAGGAAAAACTACTAAAGGAGGGGTGTTCCACATTATTAAGCAGAGCACCATTTTCAAGCAATATGGGGAAGAAAAAGGATCTCTCTGCTGCCGAAAAGAGTGAAATAGTTCAATGCCTTGGACAAGGTATGAAAACATTAGATATTTCACGAAAACTTAAGCGTGATCATCGCACTATTAAGAGATTTGTGGCTGATTCAGAGCACAGACGGGTTCGTGCAGATAAAGGCACATTGAGGAAGATTTCTGCCAGATCCATGCATCGGATCAAGAGAGCAGCTGCTAAAATACCATGACATAGCAGCAAACAGATATTTGAAGCTGCTGGTGCCTCTGGAGTCCCACGGACATCAAGGTGTAGAGTCCTCCAGAGTCTTGCAACTGTGCATAAACCTTCTATCCGGCCACCACTAACCAATGCTCACAAGCAGAAACGGCTGCATTGCGCAGAAAAATACATGAAGACTAATTTTCAAACAGTCCTGTTCACTGATGAGTGCCGTGCAACCATGGATGATCCAGATGGATGGAGTAGTGGATGGTTGGTGGATGGCCACTCTGTTCCAACAAGGCTGCGACGTCAGCAAGGCGGTGGTGGAGTCATGTTTTGGGCCAGAATCATGGGAACAGAGCTGGTCGGCCCCTTTAGGGTCCTCGAAGGTGTAAAGATGACCTCTGCAAAGTATGTGGAGTTTATGACTGACCACTTTCTTCCCTGGTACAGAAGGAAGAACTATGCTTTCCGTAATAAAATTATCTTCATGCATGACAATGCACCATCTCATGCTGCAAAGAATACCTCTGCATCAATGGCTGCTATGGGGATAAAAGGAGAGAAAGTCATGGTATGGCCTCCATCCTCCCCTGACCTCAATCCTATTGCGAAGCTTTGGAGTATCCTCAAGCAAAAGATCTATGAGGGTGGGAGGCAGTTTACATCCAAACAGCAGCTCTGGGAGGCTATTCTGACATCTTGCAAACAAATTCAAGCAGAAACTGTCCAAAAACTCACAAGTTCAATGGATGCAAGACTAGTGAAGCTACTATCAAAAAAGGGGTCCTATGTTACAATGTAACGTGACCTGTTAAAATTTTTAAAAAGTTAAAATGTTGTTAAAAGTTTGATTGAAAAAGCTTTTGATTTCAGTAAATAGGCTGCAAACACAACAAATGACAATTTTCAGTTCTTTACAACCTATAAAGTGTTTTGAAACGTACTGTGCGTAATAATTTGGAACAGTGCATTGTAAGTCCTTTATGTTTAACAAAAATACTGTTATCATTAGGAGGTTTGTTCAATAAAATTTGAGTTGTACTCTTAATAGTTGATAACATGAGAATTGCCGTATTTCGCGCTCCATAAGACGTACCAAGGTTTTAGAGGCGAAACACAAGAAAAAAAATATTCTGAACCAATGGACTGCAGACATACTACAGGAAATGACCAGAGACTGCGGACATAGTACAGGAGATGACCAGAGACTGCGGACATAGTACAGGAGATGACCAGAGACTGCGGACACAGACCAGGAGATCACCAGAGACTGCGGACACAGTACAGTACAGGAGATGCCCAGAGACTGCAGACACAGTACAGGAGATGCCCAGAGACTGCGGATATAGTACAGCAGATGACCAGAGACTGCAGACATAGTACAGCAGATGACCAGAGACTGCGGACAGAGTACAGGGGATGACCAGAGACTGCGGACAGAGTACAGGGGATGACCAGAGACTGCGGACACAGTACAGGGGATGACCAGAGACTGCAGACACAGTACAGGGGATGACCAGAGACTGCAGACACAGTACAGGGGATGACCAGAGACTGGACACAGTACAGTACAGGAGATGACCAGAGACTGCAGACATAGTACAGGAGATGACCAGAGACTGCGGACACAGTACAGGAGATGACCAGAGACTGCGGACACAGTACAGGAGATGACCAGAGACTGCGGACACAGTACAGGAGATGACCAGAGACTGCAGACACAGTACAGGGGATGACCAGAGACTGCAGACACAGTACAGGGGATGACCAGAGACTGCAGACACAGTACAGGGGATGACCAGAGACTGTGGACACAGTACAGTACAGGAGATGACCAGAGACTGCAGACATAGTACAGGAGATGACCAGAGACTGCGGACACAGTACAGGAGATGACCAGAGACTGCGGACACAGTACAGGAGATGACCAGAGACTGCGGACACAGTACAGGAGATGACCAGAGACTGCAGACACAGTACAGGGGATGACCAGAGACTGCAGACACAGTACAGGGGATGACCAGAGACTGCAGACACAGTACAGGGGATGACCAGAGACTGTGGACACAGTACAGTACAGGAGATGACCAGAGACTGCAGACACAGTACAGGAGATGACCAGAGACTGCGGACACAGTACAAGAGATGACCAGAGACTGCGGACACAGTACAGGAGATGACCAGAGACTGCGGACACAGTACAGGAGATGACCAGAGACTGCAGACACAGTACAGGGGATGACCAGAGACTGCAGACACAGTACAGGGGATGACCAGAGACTGCAGACACAGTACAGGGGATGACCAGAGACTGTGGACACAGTACAGTACAGGAGATGACCAGAGACTGCAGACATAGTACAGGAGATGACCAGAGACTGCGGACACAGTACAGGAGATGACCAGAGACTGCGGACACAGTACAGGAGATGACCAGAGACTGCGGACACAGTACAGGAGATGACCAGAGACTGTGGACATAGTACAGATGACCAGAGACTGCGGACATAGTACAGATGACCAGAGACTGCGGACATAGTACAGATGACCAGAGACTGCGGACATAGTACAGATGACCAGAGACTGCGGACATAGTACAGATGACCAGAGACTGCGGACAGTAAAGGAGATGACCAGAGACTGCGGACCTTTGGGGAGGGAGGGGGAGCGGGTACCTGAATTTGACAGGTACCCGCTCCCACTTTCGCGGAGTTGTCCTTCCCTCTTCTTCCCGCGCCGGCTTCTGTGACACCCAGGTGCCCACTGCGCATGTGCGAGAAGCGCTGCGCTTTGTGAATGTCCCGGCGCCTTCTGGGACCTGTCATATGTCCCAGAAGACACCGGACCATTCACAAAGTGCAGCGCTTCTCGTGCATGCGCAGTGGGCACCCGGCTGTCACAGAAGCCAGCGTGGGAAGACTGTACAGCGCTGGAGCGAGGAACAGGTAAGGCCCTGCAGGAGAGAAGAGCTGAGCAGCCAGCCCGATATTCTAACATGGTGGTGGCAGAAATACCGGACCAGCCGCTTTATATTTGCTTCAAAAGACGCACTGACATCTCCCCCCTTTTTTGGGGGGAAAAAAGTGCGTCTTATGGAGCGAAAAATACGGTATGCTGACTGTTATTTACATCAATTATTTAGGTAAATGAGAAAAATATAATTTGCATAATAATTTGGAACCGGATATATATATATATTGTGGGGTTAGCTCAGGTGGGGGATCACCTTCCCTGGGAAAAGGTAGACCGCACAGCAGGCTTTCTTAAAATCTGACTGGTTGTCAGCTTTATTTACAGGTTTGCAAAAATGTCAAAACAAACAAAACAGTAAAATAAACCCTTGCCATCCAGGCACTAACTAAACATGGAACTTTCCTCTCTCAGAGGTGAAGGGCTTCTCCCTGTCACCCAAAAACAAAACAAACGCAAACCTTTTCTTGTAGGTATAGTGCACACACAGCTCTCTCAGAATAGCTCTCTGAGTCCCAGGCCACGAGCGACTCCTTGCTCCAGCCCTGCCCTTTTTATATCACCTGTTGGTGGACATCAGTGGAGTCCAAACTCTGGTTCGGAACCACCTCTGCCATTTGTGCCCCGAAAACCCGGAGTGGACTCCACCTTACACCTCACAGTATGACCTCATGCGAGGTGACACATATCGTCCATCCATCACTTTGCCGTTCATACTGTCACAATATATATATATATATATATATAAAAGAGTAAATGTATTTATTACTGACCTAAATACTAAAACCATTTGGAACCATATCTAGTTTTTTAAAATGGTCCAGCAAGCGAAATTGCATGAACAGGATGCATATCAAAATTTGGTTGATGACTTCTGTATTTTTGGAGGATATTGTTCATTTGTGTATTAAACCGAACACTGAATACTGGAACATACTGATTATACAACTTTCAAATCGGGGCGACCCTTTTTTTTTTGTGTGTGTTCCAAGTGTAGGAGATGCATAGAAAAGCCTCAGTGTGCTCTGACCCCTCAACATCTTGTAGGTTTGGACCAGTAGAGGAGAGATACCAAGGAAGGAGGGTGGCAGTGAAGGAGGATCTCTGGGTAGGTACATGGATCCTCTTATTGACTGGTCAGCTTTCCATATGAACCCGTCTTCTCTCTTCTTCCTTCTTCATTCTAAATGAGACCCTTGTCTCTAGAGAAGATATGTTTCCAAAAATAGATGCATCAGCTTCAGATATCAACAGATCAAAATGACTGTGTTTAAGGTGGTTTGAAAGATGCACAACTAAATATAATGTTGTGGAACATCAAATTGTACAGGAATAGGCATCCATTTCTTTCATCTAGTATTCTATTTTAAGAGGTATCATAGCTGCCTGTTAACAAAAGCACAAATGTTTCCCAAGGCTTTCTTTCAAATTAGAGGTTACAAAGAGTGTTTTGATTTTTTCCAGTGAATGGAAAATGTCTCTGTACAGGTTCAGCAAAGTATGTCATGACTGACATAAGTGATTTTATCTGTCTGCTGCTCATGGATTTCAATAGCTTTAATGGCAGATTTTTTTTAATCAACCCATTTACTGTCTTTCATTCTTGACTCCAATTATTGAGCAAAATATTGTGTCACCATTAAAGGACTTAACTAAGCACTACTGCTGTTCAGGATGGCCAGATGATCACTTTACTGAAAATACTTTTCAGTAACTTTACAAGTCTGTATTCATTTGTTTCCAAAAAGCTCCACTTTTTACAATTAAATAAGCATGCTTGAGCTCCATTCAAGTGACTTTGCCTAGGCTGATGACGATGCCACCAAAATGCTGCAGCCAGGAAGAAACATTCCCTCAGTCTCCTCTCCTGAAGTCATCAGACTATGTCATTGTGAATTTGTTGTAAAGATGGCTCCATCTATTTGGCGAAGAAAGCAGATAATTGCATTGCCAGGGAACCTATGAATAACTCCGCGAGGGGTAGTAAATACCTAAGTGTGAAACATTAGTTAGCATGCATGCACCTTAAAAAAAATATATCTGATGCTAGATCCGCTTTAAGTACATTGGTGCATGAGCATAAACCAGGGGCGGACTGACCATTTGGAAACTCGGGCACTGCCTGAGGGCCCGGGGTCAGTAGGGGGCCCCATGAGATGCCCCTGGTACCTTTTTCATAGGCTTTTTTGAGTTTAGGCAAGGACTCACACAAAAGACATCTAATGGCAAAAAATTACTACTGCAAGGGACAGTGCCAGAAAGACAGTGATTATTGCAGCAAGAGCTACTTTATTTTTTAAATACCTGCATGGGGACAATAAAAAAAGGCCAAAATATCCAAGTTATTTATATACCTCCTGGGGCTTTAAAACCAATTTCAGGAGGAATTTAATCTTCCCTCTAACCTTCTTGTTCCGCTATTACCAACTGCATCATGTCCTCAGGTACACAGGCTGTGAATGCAGGTGACATTTAGAAACGTCAACCCGCTTCTGCAGTGCTCCCATCCAGCCGTTTATAGACATGGGCCAGAAGGGAAGTGGTTAAGGGGGTAGCACTACATGTATTTTAGTCAACTAAAATAGTGTTAATTTAGTTGACCAAAATATGTTCATCTACAAAATTAACACTGGCAACAGGAGACATAAAAAGACTAAACTTTATTTATATAGGGGGCTTCAAGTGCTGCCCCTGACACCAACAAGAAAGGCACAGCACATTAATTTAATGCTACAGAAAGCTGCAGACCTGCAACAGGAGATGGTCAAAGACTACAGGTATGCTACAGGAGATAGTCAGAGACTACAGGCATACCACATAATATTGTCAGAGACTACAAACTCACTATAGGAATATATGGAGCATGGGGACATACTTCAGAAGACAGTTATAGCCTGGAGACATTATATGATCACTGTTATTACAAATCAGTGCTTCCACATGTGTGCTCCCTACAGCCCTCTTAATAATGACTTCTGCTACAGCAAGATCCATTATAAAAGATCACAGGAAAAAAAACATAAAAAAGGGAAAGAGAATGGACAGCACAGAAAAAAAAGATAGTGGTAAATAAATCAAGCCATGTAATTACCACAACTTGGCCTCAAAATATTTTCCTTCACTGGGTTAACCACTTGCACTCCTGAGGATTTACCCCCCTTAATGACCAGCCCTCTTTTTGCTACTCGGCGCTGCACTAATTCAACTGATAATTGTCATGCAATGCTGCACCCAAACGAAATTTACGTCCTTTTTTTCACACAAATAGAGCTTTCTTTCGGTGGTATTTGATCACCTGTGCGCTTTTTATTTTTCACTCTATAAACAAAAAAAGACCAAAAATTTTGAAGAAAAACAATATTTTTTACTTTCAGCTATTAAAAATATATAGTAAACTCAAAGTTAGGTATAAATTTAGGTCAAAATGTATTCTGCTACATGTTTTTGGTAAACATATGTTTTTTATTAACAGAAAAATTTTGAAGAAAAATAAAAAATTTTGAAAAAAAAAACCAATATTTTCTCATTTCAGTCATAAAAAATATCCAAAAAAAACAAAAATTTTGTCATAAATTTAGGCCAAAATGTATTCTGCTACATGTTTTTGGTTAACAAAATCCCAATAGGTGTATATTTATTGCTTTGTGTGAAAGTTATAGCGTCTATAAACTGGTATAGATAATGGAATTTACACAGCTTTTACTTTCTGACTGCCCATCACATTTCTTGAGGTGCTAAAATACCAGGATAGTACAAACACTCTCAAATGACCCCTTTTCGGAAAGTAGACACCCTAAGCTATTTGCTGAGAGGCATATTTAGTCCATGAAAGATTTATTTATTGTTTTGTTTTGAATTTGGCATAGTTGTGCATGGCTCCACTCACACAGCTGCATCTTTTATTCACAGATCCATTCACAGAAATCTGTGAATGGAAATACTGCTAGTCCCATTTGCCACCATGGCAGATGGACTCAAGTGTGGTGACATCACCATATTTGTAGTCCATTGTTCACTTCTTCCTGACCCATAACCGAAGGTTGTGCCTTCATATAGACCTGGAAATGAGGGACAACTTGTAATGCACTGATTGTGGTTGCAATGGTTGGAAGGCTCTAATGCAAAAATGTAATAAATGCACTCTTTTTATTTTATTAATGCGGATGCATTTATTACATTTTCGCAAAAAACTGGAATATACCTTTAGAGTTGATTCACACATGTGCAGTGCGGATTGAAGCTCAGTTTTCATAGCTAATTGACACAGTAGTTGTTTAGCAGTTCATGTCAGGTTTACATCAGGTTCAGAACAGGATTAGGTCAGAATTTTATCCTGTTCATACATGTGCAGTTTAGAAACGGTTCTTATAATTCAATAGTCTGTAATCCACACCTGAACCTGAAGGCACTGCTTAGAAATCGTACATGACTCTTTTTCAGACTTTCAGATGAATCTGCACTGAATCCACACCGCCAGTGCACCGGACATACAGTATGTGAGCAGCCACCACAGGGAGCAATGTTATTTCACATGCCATGCGGATGGGAATGCTGTTCAAACTACATCCAATCCGCATATATGTGAACCGGCACTTAAAGCTGAACTCCATGAATTATATTTTTGCATGCATTAGTTCAGCTTGGTTTGATGGAAGTATCCGTATTTGATATCTGAAGGGCTGGTGAAGATGCTGTAAATCATTGTAGTAGTTTGTGCTACATACAGTAAGAGCTGTCATCTTCCTGGTTCTTTGTGAGTGACTTCCACTCTGCACACATTGGCATCTCTGCCATTCATGAAATGCTTTGCTTTTTTTTTTTCAATGAATAGAAAGCATTCTCTGTTCATACAAGGTGGTGATTGTGGCATCTCTGCCCCTCCTCTACACCACATCCAATCAGAAAACCCCTTGTATTCATTGACAAATACAGGGTCTTCTATGAATGGAGGAGGTGCCAAGCGAGTGGCCCCCTTTTTCCAGTGTGCAGAGGGGAAACAGCACCCAAGCTGGCCCAATGTACGTATACACAAAAAATATAATTCCTGGGGCTCTAAAGTATAACTAAAGGCTTTTTTTTTAAATTTGGACAGGGTTGAGAGAGATTAGAACACTTGTCAGTTTTTAGTACTGTCTGTGCCTCTTATAGGGAGATTCACTCTCTCTGTTTCTCCTGTTTACCATTATCACCAAAAATTAAATGAAAGAAAAATCAAGATTTTGGTTTGTCACCAGAACTGAAATAGAGGGGAAATCCTACAATGGTATAACTCCCTTCTAGATAGCCAGGAGAAAATAGATAGTCATTGTTAGTTAGAAAGGCTGAGAACCAGCCTGGGGAAATAGTCAGCAGGGTCAAATTTGGGCCAGGGCTGAGAGGTTCTGCAGATCAGTTCCTTTATACCTCCCCCTGCTCTAGAATCTTGGAGAAGAAGTAGTGGGTGGGGGTGAAAAGGGGCTGATCTGCATACTTAGGGGATCCTGAGCAATCCTCAGGCAGGCTGCTTGTCATGGGGTCATGACAGCCCTTAATCTCCCTGGAGGTATTCCCGAGTGTAGCTCGGGGTAAAGTTTCAGCACCACAAGAGGTATCCCTGAGTTACTCATCACCTGCTGACTGAAAATATTTATACGCAATGTAAAGGATACAAAAAATAATAAAACTTTTTTCAAAAGTGTTTTGTATGAAATACAATAAATAATTATCAATACAACAACACTATATTTGAGTTTCTGTTGGCTGCTGGGTTTGTGATGCCTCAGTCACAATGGATGTTTGAAGGACAGCATCCCTCTGGATGTGTGTGTGTGTGTCTCTATGTATGGACTCCAGCAGCAATGAAAAGTACACTCCTATTATATCATTCTAATTTCCATCCCGTTTCCAGGGATAAAGAGAGATTTGAACTAGACGTAGCAATGTTTCATGAGCACATACCCTATAACAGCTCTCACAAGTCACTGGGATATCGCTGAAAAGCCTGGATTGTAAAATAACCAGAATAATAAAATTCTTCCAACCTTTTTATCCCAGTGGATCCTTCCTATGCCATATTCTTCTTAGAACAAAAGTTTCATCTGAAATTACGCATCTTCTTGTTGCACCTTAAACAGCTTAAAAAACTGCTTTTTTTTCACCAGTATTGTATTTAAAAATCCCTTTCATAGGTAACATAGCTATATAATTATCCTTTCCTTTCTGCGGTTATCAAGCTGCATACCGCTGTATTATTTCTGGCATTTTAAATCACGGAGACTCATTATAAGTTTCTGCGCTCAAGATTCTGCAGACTCTGTAGCTCCTTTGTTTGTTATATTTGTTGGGCATTAACTCCACAAAATCTTGTGAACAAAATGAGAACACATAAAAAGTTAATCAAAAATGCAGCAAATGCAAAGTTTTTTAGTCTTTTCAAATGCAAAAACTTAAAGGGTAACTCCACTTTTGTGGGAAAAAATGAGCAAAAAAATAATAATATAGTGTATATAATTGCGACAAAGTCTTATTGTGTAAAATGCAATGCAATGTGTCTACCTGGAGGTGTTCAGTACATGGATGCGTCGTTTTCTACTTGAATGATTAACAAACAAGAAATACCTGTGCTCAAATCCCAAAAGCTAGTGCATGCATTTATCCATCAGGTGCTAAAGGGGTGTAACCACATATTAACTAGAAATTCTGAGGACCCTCTGCACACTGGTATGTACCCTTTCAGCAGATTATGCAATAAATAGGATATTTAGTTCACACATATTGCAATACATGCTTAAGCTGGCCAACTGCGTCAAAGTAATCCCTCTATGGCCAGTCCTACTCTGCTCTGCCTATGCAATGCTGCTGTGGACACTTTGACGCAGTTGGCCAGCTTAAGCATGTATTGCAATATGTGTGAACTAAATATCTCTATTTATTGCATAATCTGATTGAAAGGGTATATACCAGTGTGCAGAGGGTCCTTCAGAATTTCTACTTGAATGATTGGCTCACTGATTTTCCCGGATTTTCACTAAGATACAAGTCAGATTTTTGGCATCCCTTGCAACAAAAATGTCATTTTTGGTGATATACTTCCAAAGGGAAATTAGGTCTAAGGGAATGCAGACACTGCAATTTTCCTCATTAGAGCCCTGCTGGTGCAGCAGCTGACTGATAATTAAAATAAAAAATCAGACACAGATTCACTATGCACATGGACACAGACAAACAAGCAGCTATTTCTTCAGAATAGCAAAAGGTAGGAATCTGCAATAAAGTTTGTTAAAATTCCTGCAATGCAACACATATCACCCAGAGGGGAATGTTTTTTTCTCGAAAAAAGTGGAGTTACTCTTTAACCTCCTTAGCGGTATTCCCGAGTGTAGCTCGGGGTAAAATGTCAGTACTAAAAGTGGTAACCCCCAGCTACACTCGGGCTTACCATGCGGCGTTGCTCTGGGAGTCCCTGCAGCACTTACCTTGTCCTTCGCTCCCATGATGTGTCCCCTGCAGCGTCCACGGCCATCTCCTCCAGCCGATGCTGGCATCTGGTCCCTGTGACGTCAAATTTGAAATTTTTAAAAAATTTAATTTTTTTAAAATGACTATTACATAGTAAAACATTGCTGTTTCAATGCATTTCACATACATATTGTCCCTAGTGCTTTGTCCTGTGCCCTGCCTGCATTTTGACTGTTCTTTCTGCCTGGAAACTTAGAAAAGTCCATGGCGTCCAAAAAGCGTCCCTTTACGTCAAAAGCGGTTTTAGACCAGCTAGAAAACAGCGATAGTAAATCAGAACCACTTGCAGAATTGAGTGATAATGATTCGTGGGGAAATTTGTCATCAGACACTGAAAACGATTTTGCGACTTTGCTCAGCGATGTGCGAATTTGCCTCTGTATTTCAAATTTTAGTGTTTTTGGTTTGATTATATTATTGAATTAAATTTATTATTATTATATTATTTGTTTTAATGATTATTTATTAAATTATAAATTATGATTTCGTGTTTCAAATTTTATCCTACCCGGGATGTTTACTAGACTCTTGTTCGGGCAGATTTCAGTGAGTTATTCATAAAAATTACAGCCTACAGTAAAAAACTACATATTTCCATGCAAAAAAAAATGGTACCGCTTTCAGCACAAAAAAGCAGAAATAATCAGACCGCCAGGGAGGTTAAGTTGTTCTAGTATAATAAGATACCAGCATTAAAGTGATATTAAAGGCTCTGTTTTGTTTTTTGTGTTTTTACAGACGTCATACATTTATGCTCTGTGTAATGGTTTTGTACAAAGCAGCTTCATTCGTTATCTTCCCGGGTCCTCCACAGGCACTCCTGGCCTCTGCTCCCTGTTGACTGCCACCAGAGCAAGGCACTTGTTCTGGGGGCACTCGTGTGTGCTCGCTCCCGAGTGTCTGTAAAGCACACAGAGCATGGTCTGGCTCCACCCCCCGCTCCCTCCTCACTGGCTGTGATTGACAGCAGCAATGGCTCCCACTGCTGTGTCTTAGCCAATGAACATAGAGAGATTGATGGATTCAGATCAGGCAGGTAAGTATTGGGGGGGCTGTGGGGGGAGCAGCACACATGTTTTGTACCTTCTTGCGCAGAATACATGAAGGTATTATTATTATACATTATTTATATAGCGCCAACAGTTCGCTCAGCGCTGTACATTACAATGGGGGACAATACATGAGACAGTACAATAACAATACAGTGCGATACACGAGGGGTTCGAGGGCCCTGCTCCTTGGAGCTTACAATCTAGGAGGGAGGGGATAGTGGTATGGGAGGAAAAGCTGTGGGAAATGGAGTGGTAGGAAGAGTGGAGGAGATCGGCAATTAGGTGAGGGTGGGGTAGGCTTCCCTGAAGAGGTGGGTTTTTAGGGTGTGCCTAAAGGAGAGGAGAGTGGGTAATAGTCTGATGGATTGGGGTAAGGAGTTCCAGAGGATGGGTGATGCCCTGGAGAAGTCCTGGAGGCGGGCAAGGTAAAAAACTGTCAGCCTTTAGAACCACTTTAATATGTCCTTTTGGGCCCATTTACACTTTCATTAAAATATATATATACAAGTTAGACTGCAGGAGGGACATCGCAGGAGCGCAGGACGAGGTAAGTGATCGAGGGATCGCTTCACAAACACAGCAGCCAACAGAAACTCAAATATAGTGTTGTTGTATATATAATTATTTATTGTATTTCATACAAAACACTTTTGAAAAATGTTTTATTATTTTTTGTATCCTTTACATTGCGTGTAAATATTTTCAGTCAGCAGGTGATGAGTAGCTCGGGGTTACCGCTTGTGGTACTGAAACTTTACCCCGTGCTATACTCGGGAATACTGCCAGGGAGGTTATTAAGGTCATTCAAAGTCTTCCAGCCCATAAATTGCCAGGTCCAGATGGATACACCAATGAGTATTATAAAACATTCCATCCGACTCTCATTCAATACCTATGTAATTTCACCAACAAACTAACTACGTCTAAATCCATCCCAAAAGAAACATTAGAAGCCCTTATTATCACAATACCCAAGCCAGGAAAACTTCCCACATCACCTGCTAATTTCAGACCTATATCGCTCTTAAACACTGACACAAAAATATACACTAAACTTCTAGCCATTAGACTTCAACTCCGCACTTGGTTGTCCCTTCTGCAATCTCTTCCTCACAGCCGTCCCACAGTTAATGACTTATACCATTAACCCTCCATCTCAGCACTTACACCTGATCTGGAGCTAAAATCCTAGAATAGTGCAGGTATCCATAACCTTGCTCAACTATACACAAACAAAACTCTACAATCATTCAACCAACTTTCAGAAACCTACAATATCACATCTAAAGACTTCTTCAAATACCTAAGGATCCGTCATATATTACAAAATCTGGAATACCAAGAAAATCTCCATCTTCGATCTCTAATTAACGTTTCTGAAAAGACAGACTCTCATAAATGTGGCATCTCTTTGATATATACTACTCTCCTTCAACACATTCATCCAGATAAATTACTGGCAATGCACAAATGGGAAAAAGACCTAGGAATACAATACCCGACAAAAAAATGGCAAAGTGGAGCACGTTGGACTAAAAAAGCTTCCAGATGTATAAACCATTGGGAATCATCCCAAAAGCTAACTCACAGATGGTATCTAACCCCACAACAATTAGCAACACGATCTCCGTCCCACCATTCTTCGCTTTGCTGGAGGAACTGCAATCAAATGGGATCTTTATACCACATATGGTGGGACTGTCCACATATTAGCACATTTTGGAAATAAGTATTTTCACTTATAGCACAAATTACAAGCTCATCTCCAACTCCTGACCCAGCCTTGGCACTCCTAGGTATAGGAATAGATTCCTGGCCGCCTCAATCCAGAACTATACTAATTTATACTTTGAAGGCTGAGTATTGAAAGGCTCTGGAAAACGCAAACCTCACCATCCACTCAATCAGTAGTTGACTTATTGAACACAAACATGGCCTTTGAAAGAACCTTTGCTTGGATACACAACTTGCTTGACGGATTTAAAAAAAATTGGAATCTATGGCTCAAAGATCATCGATGCATTATGGTATAAGGCAATTCTTTGACATACCCTATAAGCACGCCTTCAAGCACAGCTCATTCATCTCTTCACATTAATCTAAATATTCAACGTCTCATATATGCAATGATACTTGTATCTAAAGTATTATGTTATCTTGAAGGAAATATGTAATGTTAAAGACCTAATTCTCACCTTACTACTTTGTTATAATTTCTACACCTCTCCCCCTCTCATAATTTCCACTTTCTCTTTCAAATTACTATACTACTGAAATTTCAAACAATGCTATAGGAACTCTAAACAAATGTACTAACGATAGTAACAACTGTTGAAGAAACATAACCGATATCGCTTGTATGTAATTGTTACCATGCTTCGATTCCAATGTTTTAAATGTTTCAACACAGTATTATCATATTACGAAACTACTGCCTATTATTGTAACCTGGTAAACGTTCAATAAAAAATGAAAGTTAAAAAAAAAAAATTAAAGAAACAGTGTAAACATTAAAAAAAAAAAAATTAATAATTTAAAAAAAAAAGTTTAAAGCACCCCCAATCCTCCCATGTTTGTGCTCAAATGCGAATGTGCTCATAGGTCCCGTATGTATGCAAACAGTGATTGATCCACACATGTGAGGTATCAGCATGTATGTTAGATCATGGGCAGCAATTCTAGCACCAGACCTCCTCTGTAAATCTAAAGTGGTAACGGTAAAGGCTTTAAAGCATCTTCTATAGATAGTGAAATGTACTTGTCACCATTGAATGGGCATGCACAATTTTAAAGTATGATATGTTTGTTATCTATTTACTCTTTGTAACATCATCTTTTATATTTTACCAAAAAAATGGGTTATGTATTTTTTTTTTTTTTTAAATAAAATTTTAAAAAGTGTATTTCTTTCCATAAAATTGCATTTTCAAAAAATGCTGTGCATATAAAATATTTCAAACCCCCCCCCCCCCAATTTACTCTCTAATGCCTCTGCTTTAAAAAAATATATAATGTTCCGGGGATTCTAAGGATTTATTTGCAAAAAAAACCTGATTGTTACATGTGAAAAAAAAGAGCCAGAAGTGGCCCGGACTGGAAGAAGTTAAGCCTGGCATAGACGGTTCAATTCTTGGCTAGTTCAGCAGGGATTAGCTGAGATTCGTACCATGTATGGGCAGGCTGAATGTACCCAAGTTGATCGATCGATCAGCTTGGGTACAACCAGGCTGCAAAATTTTACATTATAGCTGCTAGCAGTAATCATTGAGAACACAATGGCTCTGCTGGAGGGATTCCCGCAGTCAGTATTGATGGGGGAATCAAACAAATTTCTTTTCTGCAACCCATGGTTGCAGGAAAGAAAACCACTCCATCTATTGCCAGCTTAAAGCAGAAGTGTCAATCCTAAAATTAAGCACTGCTGTATTTAATTGTATTACTTGGTTTCTCTCTAAACTCAGCATGAATGTTTTCTTCTGCCTGCTACTACTTGGGTGTGCCCCTAGTAGTACAGTAGAGTTGGAAGGTTGGAAGAGACAATAATGCTGATTTTGAATACTTATGTCCTTTCCCTGCTAATCACTAGATTTGTTGCCACAGTATATGCAGGGGGACTGCATACAGTGCTGTGAAAAAGTATTTGCCCCCTTCCTTTTTTTTTTTTTTTTTTATTCAGACCATCAAACAAATTCTAATATTACACAAAAATAACCTGAGCAAATTCAAAATGCAGGTTTTAAATGATAATTTAATTTATTATGGGGAAAAAAAGCTGTCCAAACCTGCTGGGCCCTATGTGAAAAAGTAATTGCCCTCTGAACCTAATAACTGGTTGTACCACCCTTGGCAGCAACGACTGCAATCAAGCGTTTGCGATAACTGGCGATGAGTCTTTCACATCGCTGTGGAGGAATTTTGGCCCACTCTTCTTTGCAGAATTGTTTTAAGTCAGCCACATCGGAGGTTTTTCGAGCATGAACAGCCTGCTAGGGTCTTACCCCAGCATCTCAATCAGATTTAAGCCTGGATTTTGACTAAGCCACTCCAAAACCTTATTTTTTTTTTTTGAGCCATTCAGAGGTGGACTTGCTGGTGTGTTTCAGTTCATTGTCCTACTGCCTAACCCAAGTA